TGTAGAAATACACTAAAAACTCCATTTAAATGATTACAACATATAATATTAACATTGGTTTGAAATGTTGTTGGTATAAGCAAGGCAACTATTCTTCCCCTGAGATTTGTTTTAAAAACTGCTGACATCTAATTGTAAGCATTCATTTTTGTTTATATTATGTCCCTAGAAGGACAACCAGGTGAAGTCAAAAAAGCTTGGATCATTACTGTAGGAATGAACAGCAGCTGCAATGTGCCGAATAGGAAATGTGCACGTTTTGTGGCAGAGAGCCTGGTTCAGGTTAAATTAAAAACTAAACTTGTTTTTTTGGCAGTGAGACAAACACTCAGAATTCCAAACATGGAGGCTGATTGAAAAATTAGCTCAGTAGCCGCTAGTCATCCCGAGAAAGTGCCCAATTGGCCGTTCATTTGAAATCAATCTCCTTTCATACCTTGCCTTCTCCTGTTTCAAAACATAACTCGAGCCGTATATATTTTGTTGTATGTATTGTGAATGAAACGTAGACTTCCTCTTCTTCTTTGACCCATAGTCTGGATTTGTTATTTTTATTGATTTATTTTAAGAATAGGTTGTAAACACAGGGCCGTGGATACAGTTAATACAGACATTGCAAATGCAGGGAATACTGAAAGATTCAAAATACAACTCTAAGTAGGTTATGATCACTGAAAACCATAATAACATGTCCAAGCATTTCACAATGGCTTTTAGGTTCTTCTAATAAGACAATTAAAGCAAAACAAAGCTATTACTGCTTAAATACCTGACATGTTTCGGCGGTACACTTCCGCCTTCATCAGAGGTGACACGTGATGGTGTGACGCGTCTCTTATCAGCTGTTGTTGCCGGAAGCAGTCAGTCTGACAGATCTCACAGATCCATCAGACTGACCACGTCCCCCGCCGCGCTGTGGTCTCTGGAGAAGTGAATCCCAAGTGTGAGCCAAGGTGAAGGCCCCCTCGTCTCTGTTGATGGTCCGTGTTCCCCGCTTCCTGATTTCGATCGCCTCTCGTATCCATCTTTTGTATTTATGTTCTTCTGTTCCTACTATTTTTGCATTGTCCCAGTCCATGATGTGATTCTCTCTTTTGCAGTGGTCTGATATTGCTGATTTGAGGTTTTCCTGTGTTGCCTTTTCCTTGGTTGCTCTTGTTAGTCGCGCTGCCGTTTCTTTTTCGCATTCCTTTTGATGTTCCTTTCTTCTGGTGCTAAAAGCTCTCCCCGTTTCCCCGATGTATGTTTTATTACAGGTTCTACATGGTATTTCGTATATAACGTTGCACTTTTTTTCCGGTTGTATTTTGTCTTTTGGGTGAACGAGGATCTGTCTGAGCTTCTTGTGTGGTTTGATAATTGCATTGATGTTGTGTTTTCCGAGTGCTCTCTGTATCTGCTCCGTGACCCCTTGTATGTATGGTATGGTGACGTCTTTGTGTTCGTTGTGTTTTTGTGGTTGCTTTTTTCTCTGTTTTTGTGTGATCTGTTTGTTTAGTACCTGTTGTCTTCCTTTCTGTATTGCCCATCTGGGATATTGACAAAACTTGAGTGCTTGGATTATGTGTCCTTCTTCTTTTATCCTGTCTTCTTCCTCTGTGATGTTGTTGAGGCGTTCAAATAGTGTTCTGACAACGGATAGTTTGTGTGCAATGGGGTGTTCTGAAGTCCAGAGTAAATATTGATCAGTGTGTGTTGGTTTCCTATATACTGTTGTCTTGATGCTGCCGTCCTGTTGGTAGTGAATGTTTAAGTCCAGAAAGGGTATGCAGCCCTCCCTCTCCTCCTCATGTGTGAATTGTATGTGTCCTGTTGGGTCTATGGTGTTGAGATGGTCAGTGAGGTCCTGTGTGTGTCCTGTCTTTACTTTTTCTAAAATGTCGTCAACGTATCTTTTCCATAGGGTTGGTTTGTATTGTTGTGGTGCTGTATTGATGGCTCTCTCCTCTAAATCCTCCATGAAAAAGTTGCTCATTATTGCAGATAGTGGATCCCCCATGGCAAAACCCTCCTTCTGTCTGTATATTGTGTCCTTGTATTGGAAGTAAGTGGATTTGGCTCACACTTGGGATTCACTTCTCCAGAGACCACAGCGCGGCGGGGGACGTGGTCAGTCTGATGGATCTGTGAGATCTGTCAGACTGACTGCTTCCGGCAACAACAGCTGATAAGAGACGCGTCACACCATCACGTGTCACCTCTGATGAAGGCGGAAGTGTACCGCCGAAACATGTCAGGTATTTAAGCAGTAATAGCTTTGTTTTGCTTTAATTGTCTTATTAGAAGAACCTAAAAGCCATAAACATAAGAAGACAAAATGAATTTTCTACATTTAAGCATTTCACAAGTTGTGTCCCTACCATACTGTAGACTGTCCCTTCCCCTATAATATCTCTTGCTCTCATTTTTTCCTCCTGCCCCTTATCCCAATGGCGCCCCCGCAGACCGGAGTTAATTTTACACCTACAGCGCAAAAAATGGGAAAACAAAAGCTATTGGAAATGGATGGGGAAGGGAGGGGGGTGTCAGCAAAAGATTTATAAGACACAGAAAATCAAGAACGCAATTCAGAGCGCTATGTTTGTGCTCCAGGGTCCTTGCTGTAGTGCACTATTTCTATCACTGCCTCGTAACACCCCCCCCCCCCCCCCCCCACTCCCCCGCGTTCCCCCAAATACGCACCACCCCCCCAGGAGCCTGTCAGATGATAAAGAGATGTTGTCAGCGACTGATTATCAGCCTCCCAAACTAAAAACAAGTAAAACATCAAACGCACAAAGACCACACAGGGACTTGGCCTTATTTTTTTTTTCTCCCTGCGCTAAATTTTTCTCCTTCATACATCTCTCTCCCCTCTTTTCATTGGCGTGTCATGAGTGTTTTTCGCTGCTGGGGGAGCTATTTGATTTGTTCTGCCGTTTAAGAGCTCGTATTGTTTCCGCTGTGTTGTTTTTATGTCGGTTTTATTCATATGGACGCCAGTGGCAGCTTCAGGTCGAGTCAGAGGGAGCGGACATACAGCAATAAAAGCGCGAATGAGCAATGCAAAAATATGTTATGCTTTCTTGCCTCTGCATTTTTGCACCAAACACATCACGCATTTCTTAGACAGCAATGGGCGAGTGCAGCGTGATTTGTCAATGACTTTTCAAAATAAGTGTTCTCAGGAGAGTAGGAGATGGTCTGACTGCAGCTGGTGGTGGTATTTCAGTATCAAACACTTTTTCACAGGCTAAAACTTTCAAAAATGTGGAAAATGTATAATAAAATGACTGTATATGAAAGTAGCAGCGTATTGTTGTTTTGATCAAAGAATCCTTCGTCATTTTTTCAACGTAGTGAGTTGAATTTTGAATTGATTATCAGATTATTTCAACAAGAAACGTCAACGTCAGAATAGCGGCAGATATAAATACTATAATTAAAGTGCTTTTGGCCAACACTACTAACAATAGTCGTCACAATTTCTAAATGAGCTTTTAACCAAAACTGGAAACACTTCATGTAACAACTGTTGCAGCATGTGGATTAAGGAAAAATGATTATATACAAATAAATTAAACAGGCACATCCGAAATCTTTCACAAAATGTCAAACTGATCACTGACGAATCAATTTGGAAAACGGTGCAAATTAAAGAAGTCTGTTAGTTTTTTTTCAGTGAACTAAGCATGTTACCCATTCTGGTAAAAACTTTTATTAAATATAAAAGAGACAAAAGCGCCAATAGCATAATAGTTTCTTCAGCCGACTGAATTTTTTTTAGAGTGTATCTTGTCCTCAATGGCAAAAGCTTATATGCTACAGTACTTATATTCATTTAAAGCTGGGGTACCTTGCTTTTAGTCAACAGAAAGTCTTGAAAAATTGAAATGAATAGAAAAACAGGCCACAACAATGTGTTATCTTTCGCATAGTTGTACAAAAGATCTCAGTGAACCACTACATGATGCTTCAGGTGAGCGCTGAGGCAGGGGTTCCTCTCTTTCTCACTTTTCTGCTCAAAAAAGCTGATCTAAAGACGTGTCAGAGGGAGGCATGTGAAAACTGGAGATAGAAAAGTTTTGAGAGTGAGTAACTAGATAGATGTCATTGCTGGTGAAACTAGGAAAATTCAACATTGTTCAAAAGTTAATTTATTTTGGTAATTAAACTCAAAATATCAAACCAATTTCTGATATAGACTCATTATATACTCCTATGTATGCATACAAGTATTTTCTTTTATAGAGTTTTAACTTATCTTGTATTGTGTGCTCCTCATTCCTATTGTTCTTTAACATGTGATGCAACACTGAAATTTCCCCACTGTGGGACAAAAAAAGTAGTGATAACCAACCAATCAACCAAGCCAATTACCAACATTAAAACAAATACGGACGTTTACTGTATTTGTTCAAATGTACAAGTCTGTCATAAATTAGTTTCATGTTTTAAACTAACATAATAGACTTTTGAAAAATATTGTAATTTTCCGAACTTCACCTACAGTTCCATTTTCTATCTATAGAAAATTAGGAACCCCAGCTTTAAATGCTTCACACCATAGATCTGTGTTTTCAATATCATGCCCATGTATGAAATGATCTCACTACTTGGCTGCCGGTGTGAAACGTGATCTTAATTAACCGCCTCTAATCCTCAGGTTTTCATGCCCCAGGCTACATTTCTTAACCTGTCAAAGCAGTGCCACAATCTTATGCTCATTGGTCGTTCGATGCTTTATGCCACTGCTAATAGCCATCGGACTGGAACACCCCCTGCAGGCGCAATCAGACCAAACGATAAAAAGTGGCACATGAAAGAAGCAAGAGAAAGCCCGGACAAGTTAGAGAAGAATGCTACTGACAACAATGTGAAGTCCATTTCTTCACTTTACATTTCGTTTTGACTGTACACCGACAAGTCCAGTGTTTGGCAGGTCCATTATGTCAGTGTGTGTGTGTGTGTGTGTGCGCGTGTATGTATATGTGCGCATTTTTTGCCGTATCGTTCACAGTCTACCCCCAGCTCAGCGACGCAGAGACAAGCAGAAGCACCATCAGAACGGGAATGGCCGGTTTGGACATGGGTGAAGCCGCTCCCCCCGTCCCAGAAGATCCCAGGTTGGAGATTGTGGCTCTTTCCGAATACATAGGGATGACGTTGAATTGCCCGCCTTCATCCACCTCCTCGTTGGGACGTCTTAGGTCTTCCTCTTCCTCGCTTTCCACCACGACCTGAAAAAGAAAGCAGAGGAAGGAAATAGCTATTAAAAAAAAAAGTCATTTTTTGGCATAAATTTCAAAAGGAATTTCAAATTGAGCCGTTCAATCCTGATCTTGTTGGAGGGCAAAGTTAAAAGCGATCTGATAGCGGATATTTGAAAGCGCCGCCTTGGAGTGCCTGAAAATAAAATAGTGAAATCAATTAAACATGTGCCCCGCAGTCAGTAAACGATACATCCGCAGCTGAGCAACAGGGCTCATAATTCCAGAGAAAACATTAAAACAGAATATTATGAAACTCATCTCAATATTTTTAACTGAAAATATTTTGAAATGATCCAACTTGTTATTTATTTCTGGCCAGCACCATTAGAATACATGATATCAACTTGTGGTGCTATTGCTTTTCCAGGTTTTTTTTCTTTACTGGAATTTCTTATGGATTTTGAGCCTTTGTCTAATAACCTTAGAACAATTCAAATGAGACAACTCTAACAACAGCTGTTAATCTTGTGTCATTTTTTAAGAGAACTCAAACTCAATCTTGATTAAATAAAATCATAGCTTCAAGCATTTGCCACCAGCCGCTTAAACACACTTTTTCACAGTTAATAGCATGGCAACATGGTGAGTTATTCTAGACCTTTCATTTTCCATTTTGCATGAATATACTAATAAAATCTAATTTTAAAGAAGGGTGTCTTGTAAATGCAGTGTCATCACACAGTATTTGCACCTTGCTCAAAATGCAAATCCATGAGGTGTCTGCAAGCATATACTTGAAACTGAATGAAAGGGGGACATGACTAAAATGAGGACCAACACCACGGACATTACAATAAACAGTTGGTAATTGAATGAGTCAAGTTTTCCACAACTGAGAGCCTTTTAAATAATGAGTATGCAGTTAGAGACATAAGTAAGTAAGTAATCTTTATTTATATACCGCCTTTCACAGACCAGAGTCACAAAGCGGTTTACAATTGTGGGCATTTGTCTCTCACTCTACACAGAGATGGGTCGCCAGTACAGGAGCCAGACCTATTTTACATGTTTTTAGTAGTAGGGGAAACCGGAGCACCCGGAGGAAACCTACGCAGACACAGGGAGAACATGCAAACTCCACTCAGAAACTGGACAACATTTAGTCCTGGTACTTCTTGTGTGAGTAACCAGAACAAGGTATTTTTATTAAGAGAGTAAGTGGGAGACTGAGTTTGAGAATCTCTCCTTTTGAGAGATGTCCTTGCTCAAGCCTTACTTGTTCACACGGATGACGTCCAAAATCCGAACAAGGAAGTACACGCAGCCGTCAGTTCACATCATAGAGTGTAAAAGTTTACATAATAATAATAATAATAATAATGTATTTTATTTCTTAGGCGCCTTTCAAGACACTCAAGGTCGCCTCACAACAACAAGTAAATTAACATCAACAATTAAAAACAGTTAAAATACAATGTTAAAACAGCATGAATAAAACATACAGTTGTGGTCACAGTGAGTAGGCTTGTCTAAACAGATGAGTTTTGAGGATGGATTTGAAGTGTGGGAGTGAGTCGGTGTTACGGAGGTCAGGAGGGAGAGTGTTCCAGAGCTGGGGAGCAGAGCGACTGAAGGCTCTACTCCCCATGGTGACGAGATGGGCGGGAGGGGGAGCAGTGAGCCGGAGAGAGGAGGAGGAGCGGAGAGAGCGGGCAGGTGTGGAGACATGGAGGAGGTCAGTCAGGTATGGAGGAGCGAGCTTGTGGATTGCTTTGAATGTGAGGAGCAGGATTTTGTATTGGATGCGGTGGGTGATGGGGAGCCAGTGGAGCTGTTGAAGGACAGGAGTGATGTGGTTTATGGAGGGGGTGTGTGTGATGATGCGGGCGGCTGCATTTTGGACCAGTTGGAGTTTATGTAGAGTTTTTTGAGGGAGACCAAACAGCAGGGAATTACAGTAGTCGAGACGAGAGGTGACGAGGCTGTGTACAAGTATGGCAGTGGTGTGAGGGGAAAGAGAAGGGCGGAGCCGGCGGATATTTCTGAGGTGGAAGTAGGCGGTGCGGGTGATGCTATTGATGTGTGCGGTGAAGGAGAGGGTGCTATCGAGGGTGACACCCAGACTCTTTACCTGAGGGGAGGGGGAAATGGAGGAGCCGTCAATGGGAATGGAGAAATTGCTGATTTTATTTAGGGTGGATTTGGTGCCAATGAGGAGGAGTTCAGTTTTATTGCTGTTGAGTTTGAGAAAGTTTGAAGTGAACCAGGACTTTATTTCATGGAGGCAGTTGGTGAGAGAGGACGGTGGGAGTGTGGAATTTGGTTTACTGGAGATGTAGAGCTGGGTGTCATCCGCGTAGCAGTGAAAGTGAATGTGGTGTTTTCTGAAGATGTAACCAAGAGGGAGAAGATAGATTAGGAACAGGATGGGGCCGAGGACAGAACCCTGGGGAACCCCTGAAGTGACTGGGAAGGGACGGGAAGTAAAAGATTTGAGCTGGATGAACTGGGTGCGGTCAGAAAGGTAGGAGCAGAACCAGGAGAGGGGAGTGTTTGTGATGCCAATGGAGGAGAGTCTGTCCAGAAGGATGGGGTGGGAGATAGTGTCAAAGGCTGCGCTGAGATCAAGCAGGAGGAGGATGGAGAGTGAACCGGAGTCAGCAGAGAGGAGAAGGTCGTTGGTGATTTTCAGGAGGGCAGTTTCAGTACTATGGAGGGAACGGAAGCCAGATTGAAATTGTTCATATAGGTTATTGGAGGAGAGGTGGGCGTGGAGTTGGGCAGCAACAGTTTTTTCAAGTAGTTTGGAGATGAAGGGAAGGTTTGAAATGGGGCGGAAGTTATTGAGGTCAGAAGGTACATCAACAAAAGAATTGGACCATGACACAAAGAAACATCTGTCAGAGAAATAAATATCTGTCAAGTTGACACCTCGTTAGAAGACACTTTTGCTCTTAAAGCCAGTCTCTATATGTAGGAGACACGTTTGGGCACTGTGTGAATAAATGAATGTTTGACTGATGGAGGAGAAATGTATTGTGGGCGTGCATATACTGTATGTGTGGGCGTGTGCGTGAGAGCACCTGTGTGTGTGGGCGTACATGTGTGTTTGGGCGCGGTACACGAGATTATGAATGGGCATACACCTGCGGGGGCACCAAAAGAGGAGAGAGGTCTGTTTGGGAGGCCATAATTTTTGTTGACCGCTATTATAGTTTTGTTTGATTTATCTTTGCAATTTTTCTGGCTTAAGTTTAATCAATAATTTTTTCTGTATAATCACCACGCATTTTTGGCCTGTGACCGCAATGTTTATTATGAATTAAATGACATTGCAACTGGATCCAGCCTCTCCATTTGTTTTCTATACTTATTTAGTGCGTCATGACATTTTATCGGACCCAACTGGCCTCTCCGCGGCTTTAGGCAACAGGCAGCCGCTATACTATATATCAAATGCTAATTTTGTGATTTGTCATAAAAATCACACATAAGCTCTATCCCTCAATATTAAGGACAGTGATATTATGAAGAATAATACAAAGTACACATTACTTATAGAGCGCCTGACACCAAAAGACTCTTCAAATGTCATTATTCATTCACTCCATACACAGTGGTGGCAAACTACTACTGTAGCCACAGATGCCCTGGGGCAGAGTGACAGAAGTGAGGCTACTAATCTTTGCCATCAACCTCTCAGACAACCACCAATCATTCACGTACACACTAGACTCAAACTAGGCAATAGTTTCCACCTGCAGGTACAGGTCATTTATACAGAGAAATTTCTATTGTGAAAAAGTCCAAAAGATCTCGGTAAAATTCACCATATTTTCCCACTTTTCATGATGTGCTCATTTTCCGAGATGTACCTGTATTACCTAGTGCTTAAGGAAACAATAAGAATGTCTTAAAATGAGCGCTGCTGTTGATTAGAAGAAGTCACAGTCTTGATTTAAATCTTTAAAGCTGTTGATGGAAAATAGATTTGGAGCAACAATACGGCGCCCAGCTGTTTATCACGATGACACGCACAAACATCTGGAGGCGCCCAGGGCCTGCGCTCACTGACGGTGCGCCCATTGTTCCTCTACTTAGAATAATGCGCCGCTGCATCATTCCATTGAATTACTGCCACCGATACCTGTCTGCTTTATGGAGTTTAGACTTTGGAGTTCTTTATTTACAGCTCAACTTTTATCCACTAATGGATCTCTCCTCCAGGCGACACCACACTTCTTTCCACTTCTGTGCTGATGTGATTTTTCCGCTCATGTTGTTTGCGTTGGGACTTTGACAATCAGTTCAGGTAAATTATAAAAAGCATCCACCAAACTTTTCAAGGCTATTCTGAGTCACTGTACTGACTTTGGTGACCTCTCCTTTGATCTCCCCTGTAACACATCGGCAAGAACCAGAAGAGCCTCAAGAACACGCTTAATATTTCTTTGAAGATAATTGGAGAGAAGCCTGTGTTCTTTAAGGAACCGTTATGGCCAAGAAAGTTCCAAATCAAATGCATCCCCATTTCAAACATCCACTTTCTATCCTCCATTACCTTTCAACGTGTCATCTGTATGTAGATGGCACAGCGGAATGCTGCATATTAAAATGGAAAGTGACCACAAAAACACCCACTTCAAAGCTCTTCTAGGATTCTACTAAAATATTTGGAATGCCTCGAAATTTCTCAGCTGGACACATCCAGACATCAGATCAAACATAGAGTTTTTCTGTGTGTTAAGGGGCTTATGCCTCTGACTAAACACAGTATCGACTCAGTCTCATGGAGGCATTTTAATCACTTTTGACCGGCACATCCAAACAACTGCAAAAGAGTTTTTGTCATGGTTTCAGGACTATAAACTGTCTCTAAAAAATATGGACACAACTCAAACTATTTAGAGAATGCAAACAATTCTCTGTTTTTGTAATGTTTCTATGGATTATATAAAGAGCAGATTGAAAAGACTAAAAGACGAGATAATATTCAAATCCAGCTGACCGAAAGCCCTCTGCATTTTGTGGGAAAACGTAACATTTCAGACAAAGAGCATTCATCTGGGCCTGAAATGTTGAGCTAAACATCAGGTGAGTCTCTTTCTACGGCAGAGCGGATCCTCGGCTTTTTGAAGTGAAACCTTTCAAATGTGGAGAAAATCACTTTAGAGAAACAAGCGCAAAGCTCCTCATTGAGAGGAGAGGGCCAGCTGCAGCACAAGAGGAGTGAATGGAACAGCAGAAGAGTGAGGGACTTACAGGAGTGGATGAGGGACTGACAGAGTTTGTGGAAGAGGAGGAAGCACAGCGAGAGAGAGACATATGGACCTGAATAAATTCATACTAATGAAGCCTGACTGATGCAGCTCTTCCAAGCAGCACCTCATCTAATCGGCTCATGGGAAAGACTTGCAGATGGACGCAGCACCAAGAGAGGAGGGCAGCGTAGGAAAACTAGAGCTGGAATCCCCTCTTGTCTGGCGGCCCAGATTATCTCTGGAAGAGAGGCATGCTGGGAGCCAGAGAGGCGCAGCCGTAGCAGTTTGTGCTGTGGCCAAGGTTAGAGTAGCCAAGCCCCTGATTGGATGGACCACATTAACGGTCAGTGCGGGACAAGGGCGGCCAGGAGCGCTTCTTCTAAAAACATATGTGTTCTCAGCTCCTCTGGCTCGCACAATCACCAGGACTCCAATCAAACCACCGCAGGCGTCAGTGCTTACTGGGCTGCCTGTGATTGGCTCTGTTAGGGACACATCAGACACTCCGCGTTCACACACTTAGCACATTTGTCTGCTAATGGTCCCTGGCCACACAACAGGAAGACAACATGGCACAGAAATCTAGTGTTCTGCTCCAAAATAACTAGGTCCACACTAGTGACACATACAAGGCCAAAATGGAACATAGCACATCGTCTTACGTTAAAGAAGCAGTCATTTTTGGCCATTAAAAATGAGAATGACAGGGCGGCACGGTGGCTGAGTGGATAGCACTCTCGCCTCTCAGCAAGAAGGTCCTGGGTTCGAATCCCGGTCGGACCAGGGCCTTTCTGAGGGGAGTTTGCATGTTCTCCCCGTGTCTGCGTAGGTTTCCTCCGGGTACTCCGGTTTCCCCTACCACTAAAAACATGTCCAATAGTTCTGGCATGCGCCTCCTGTACTGGCGACCCGGCTCCCATCTCTGTGTGGAGTGAGAGACAAATGCCCAAAAATTAACAATTGTAAACCGCTTTGAGACTCAGATCTGCAGTGAAAAGGCGGTATATAAATAAAAAACTTACTAACTTACTTACTATTTACTTTCATGTTGTAGAATGTGAAATAATAATAATAATAAAGTGGAAACTAGGGATGCACCGATACCAAAACCGATACGAGTAGGAGTACCTTAATTTTTGGAGTACTTGCCGATACCAAATATCGATACAAGTACTGCATTGTGTTATCTCTGGGAACTCATACAACTAATAACAATAAGAAAATGCTTTAAAAATTAAACACTCAACTCTACTTTGCTATGTTGTAGAGTTGGTTGTTGTGCTCGGGTGCTAGCAAAGGTGCTATACTTTGTTGCGATACTAGTTTTCAGATGTTTGATCAAGTTACTGGTGTCATACGTGTTTGTTTTAGACCCACCTTGTGACAGTTTAGCCTCACACAACGTGCAGACTGCTTTACTCTTGTCACTCCTTTACTTAAAAAAACTGCTATGTGGCCGACATCCGCTTTCCGCTAACTTACAATAGATTTAGCTTATACGGCTACCTGGGATAATGATCTAATGTCCTTTCATTTTGTTGCAAAAGACATTTTAACAGATACCTTTGAAAAGAACAATGTTTTTGCAAGCCTTTTAGGGTCACTTTTATACAGATTTTCATCCGCCAGAGAACACCTACACAGTGGGAAGCAGCTAAATCTCCTCTTCTTCAGAATGACAGCGCACAATAGAAGAGAGTGTTATGCATGAAGCACAGTCCTCACCTGTTTTAATCCTCTGCCACAAAACTGTGCGGCAGTCTCCCATTTTAAATACATTTTTAGGCCCGAGACGAATGGTTTGAAGTAAGTAAGTAAGCTTTATTTATATAAGTGCCTCCAGCAAATGCTTGAGGTACACTCCCTCCTCAAAAACAAAGACATAAGTCCACCACTAGAAGAGAAAAACAAGCATTGATATCCATTTCTCCTTTAGAAGCAGCGGGTGAAAGGCCTGTGGGTATTCTTGTAGACTTGTAGTGTATTGGCGAGTCTTTTGAAGAGGTGAGTGAGCTCTTCTGGCTGTGTCATACATTTGGACTTTCACTCTCTGCTCCTGGTGCATGTACACAGTGTTGAGTATCTTTGATGCTTTGCCAAAGTGCTTAGATATCTTGTAGCCGTTAGCAGCTCCTTTGATCCTCGCATCACTGCTGACTCACTGGTGTTCACACTCTGCATAGGCGTGACCTTCTACCTGAACACGTCAAATGTCACGAATTCATCAAACCATAACTGAGCACACCACTTTGGCACTATTGCTTTGTTTACTTTCACCTTATTTAAAATACTACATTACAGTTCAATACATTCAGGCACAGTTTCATGTATGACGAATGATAACTGAATTAATATTAGCAGATTTTGGTGTGATTGGAGACAGGGCTTTGGTGACTGCATATGGATATTCTATTACAAAAAATATGTTTCTGGCAGATGTCAGCACTGTACAGCTCTTCTCAAAAAGCAACTGACCTAGAAACAAACGAGCAGTTACAGGGAGACAGTGAAATGACAATGCTTTGAATTAAAAAAAGTTATCTAAGAATACTTAAAAAAATACCAACCTGAACTAGACATTTGTCATACTCAGTGTACTCATAGATACAAGACAAGGTCTAGCAGTGCATGAAAGAAGTTTAATTAAATCTGTTTAGTCAAAACTTGCTCAGCGCAAGTCATTGTACAAGCTGACCCCGCCCTCACACTGACCAGCCGACCCGTCTTACTTCTTGTGGACTTTGGAACAATAAAGAGTGTTGAAAAACAAGGACGTGTTTGTTTTACGGCAGAAATATTCAGAACATATTTTACTTATTTACCTCCGATTCATTAGGGGGTCTTGGATCTGGTTTGTGTGGACATATCAGAGAAAACAAACGCTTTGACAAAGATTTTGGGGATGGAATGGTATAATACGTGACGAATTGCGGCAAAATCAACGTCTCAATTGTCATCTGTAAACTGAGAATTTGGCTTGAACTTGTTTACATCCAAAGGGATAACCTCAGCTTTTACAATTCATCCGACAAAGTGGCTCACTGGCTTCAAAGATAATCTGTGCATTTCTTGACATTTAAAATGATGGACACTATCCATAAAAGATGGCACACGCTTAATCTTAATTCGGTCAGGAAACAAAGAGAAATTGAGCTTGAAAATACCACGGAAAACTCCTGTCAAGAGATGAAGAACTTAGTAGATAAAACCAACACAATAAATAAAGAGCGACGGGACAGGAGGTGCCGAAACCGCCGCAGGGCTCAGCGTGCAGCTAATAAAGTGAAATGAGCTGCACTCACGTTGTTGCTGTGCTCCGGCAGGTGGTTGTTGCTCAGAAGCTCATCCTCCTGAATCAGGGGGGAGGGCGGAGGACCGGGCGGAGACGTGAAGTCCGCGGGCATGGATCCAGGGTCGCCCATCCAGCTGATGGAGTTACCTGCACACACACACACACACATCATTGGCTTTTCGTACATAAAGGTTTTAGCGTTCAGCCCAGTTCCACAAACTAAACTAACAGATCTATGTTTCACACTCACTACATTTATTTTTGTTCAGTTGGAAATTACAATTGTATTGAAGGACTTTGGAATTTTGATTGGTCAATAGCACACTTTGAATCAATGATTAAATATAAAGTAGTTAATCCTTGAATCAGGTCAATTTTATTTTTGATTTATGTCAACTTTGACTCTCATAATAGAACATTTGCCAACATGATTTCTGCCATCCTTGAAATAAGCATTGTATCAATCTTTTGAGATGAGATGAGATATACTTCTTTCTCATTCCAAGTTGCTTCTCTCTTAAACAACATAGGCTTGTACCATTGGCAATTCTTGTTTTAGGGCAGACAAAATTAACTAAAATCAGGATGAATTTAAACTAGTTCAAGCAATTCTTTTCTTTTTGTCATTTTCTCTGTAGATTAAAAGATTAAAGTCAGAGCTACTTATTAGTTAGTTTTTGTAACTTTATATCAATTGGAAGAGGTCTCACTCATTTTTTCCTTTGGCATTTTAAAACTCTACATACAAGTTTTTTAAATATCAAACCGTGTAAAATGTGAATTCCACTGTTAATTTTGTTCAGGAGTATAAAGATACAATATCATGATGTTCTTACCAAACCCAGCCTTAGTTAGTTTATGGTTATTTTTATATATACTATAATACTTTAATAAACAAGAGCTACACTTCCTGACACATCTGCGGCCAATATCCAACCAGGAAGTAACCTTATAAACCTCTCAGATTGTCCAAACTGGGGGATTTTTCTTGTTTTTGTCAAATGGTAAAATACAACCATGTGTGTGCGTCCTTGAAATGTGTGAAGTCTGACCTGTCGTACGCACTTTTAACACAAGTAAATAATAGATATTTCTTGTTGGAGAATATGGGTGGGTCTCCAGTGGGCGTGAACCAACATTTCTACTTGGCAGCTTTATTGTTCCACCGGTCGACGGCTTGATAAATCACTGGCTTTTATGGACTGCACATCGACGCATCGGTCCGGGCTTTAGTGTTTGGACATACTGACTTGTTGTGTATTGACACGAGTATTGACAGTCGTGGTGATTGAGCGATGCCTGGAGGCCCTGGCCCGCGGGATCTATCCTGTCCCCTACCGAAGCCTTGTAACTGCACACCGCCCACAATAGTCTGGTGAAGTCTTTTAGGCTCATGTTAAGAGGAAATGGCTTCACACTGGGAACAGCTGGAAGCACCAGTCCAGACACACTCATCACATCTCTGCCTCTTTCTCATTTGCTGCTCTTCACTGGCTCCACGTGGCTTCTTTGATGGGGGATTTTTCTGTTAATTGCTACATTTAAGATGCATTATTTATAGCAAGTGTGGGGTTATAGACGAACAAGTGAGGAAATGGTTATAAATATTTTGACATTGGCATTTATCTCCTGTTGCACAATAAAGGGAATTGTGAAAATGTACTTATTCTGGTTTCTGGTATAAATAGCGCTAGGAAAAACCTTTAAAAACGGCACAATTTTATAAAAAAGAAAAAAAAGATAATTAAACTTATGCAATAAATCAGTCTAATCAATCTTAAAACACTTTGGTTCTATCACTAGTTTTCACATCCATTGATTTTTGCCTCGGCATTTCAGACAGTAAAGTGAGTAGGAGAAGACCAGCCTCACTCAGCCAATCAGCTCTCAGTAAAAGACAAAATATTTTCAAATAAGATAAATACAGAATGTTAGGGCCTGATTAAATTTTTTTGTTTTGATTTTTTACAAGACTCTTTCTACTGGATGAACACATGTAGTAATGAAACAAACATTGAGTTCAGCTGTAATGCAGTGGCTGTCATCGCGCAGAGCCGGTATTACCTCGCACGGTATAATACATCGCCCTTTGACACGGCTGACATGGGTTCAAGCAACCCTCCTATCATTCCCATTGTACAAGTTCAACATGGCATTTCAACACGGGTCAAAAACATGCATACCAGCTCCCAGACACAATAAATGTGTGAAAAACTCACGCAGACAGGTGTTGTGGGTGAACATGTGCTGCAGCCTCAGACAGTCCTGCCACTGGTTCCCGCTGCCCTCACAGTTGCACCACAGAGACACGTCCGCGGAGCTGTTACTGATGTAGTTTGGAGTCATGATGGTTCCTGCAGATCCAACAGACTTGTCAACATTACACTACAATATATACAGACAGTTACAGTTAAGTAGTCAACACTTAACATAATCATAACACAATAAATCGTAGGAATTTTGTATTTTAAAAGTAATTTAGCTCCAAAAAATAACCCTAAATGTTTACGTTTATGGTTCTTTCTAAACCTTACTGTATAATTTAGAAAGATGGTTACACAACAATAACTAACACTTCCTTGTTCCCCATTCCAAAAAAAGTGCTATTGATAATATATCCTATATATAATTCTCACTTTACTCACTACCTGGTGTGCAATTACCTCAAAATCTACATTGATCAAAAATCAAAACCATAACAACGTTTTAATTTGGACTTTTTTTTTCTGCTGAGACCACAGCGCTGTGAAAAGTGAATACCACAGAGCTTGTCAACCTCCTCCATGTCTTCAAACTCCTGATACTTGGATTTTTTAAACTCTTAGGGATTTTTTGACGGGATGAGGGTCATTTTCATCCCGTAACCTGAGCAGACCACTCCAACCGTATCCATTAGAAAATACAGTGATAGTCAAAACAATTTGACGGTTATTTCTGATTTATTTATGCATTTATTTTAGTTAATGGAGCTTGACGTCAGTGTGACAAAGTTGCATCTCTTTATTAGTAAAACTGGTTACCCTCTGTCAATCCTTTAAACTTCTGAACTAAAATGTCTATTGATAAAACCAATGGGTGAGACAGTAGAGTTGCATAGAGTGAATAGCTTCCCATTATAACTATAAAAAACTGAGAGCAGCTGCTATCCATTTTCCTTTTAAAGGGACATGAGTCACTGCCCAGTGTTTCGAACGTAACGCTGTACGGCTGCGTGAGACACATAATTGCTGATCACATACAATCGTGTACATGAAAGCTAAGGTTGTGTTTTAAGACTTGAGCCCCATAGAGAAGTCATCCATCACTGTCATGAAAGCACTCGACTCTTCAGTCTCCTCAACTTTCTGTTCAGATTCTGCAGCACATACATTACCCATTTGTGCCATATTATAACTTTAACTGTTAGCAGTGGATGGAGCACAGAGCCGCGATGACGTTCCTGCCTTTTGCCACACCAGTTATTGGTGGTATTTTTATATGGACTAAAAACACTCACTTATTATTCTCTTCCTTGTTCCACAAGATGGTATATCATGGAATGAAAAAATAATAAAAAGGAAACAATAACAATTAAAATTATACTTATTGTATTTTTTAAATGTAACTTTGCCTTTTTCATTTATTTTTTTACATCGAAATTGCAGATTTTCATTATATTTTTCTCACATTTGACAGAGCGGCGCTGTGAGACGAGCCTCACGTTGGTGACGTAAATGCCTCAACTCATTTACGGGCAATGCTTTTACATTGACATCATACTGTTACAGGACTGAGGCAGGGGCTTGTAGACAGAAGGGGCAGAGTTACATGTTTGTGCGAGATGTTCATGATATTAGTGTGAAAGGATCTAAAAATAACTCCAACATGGTTTAAAGCTCAAAAAGGATGAGTCAGCACAATATGTCTCCTTCAATTAAGGAAGTCAAGTTTTCCGCTAGATAATACTTATTTGGCAGACAAAATTACATTATGTCTACTTTAAACAAGCATTGGCTTTGTTTTTACTAGTATTCTGTGGTGTTTAAAAAATGTGGCATGATAAAGACATTTTCCATGGTGTGTGTTTTGTACCGATGAGTCCGGCGTACGCTCGCAGACACAGGCCCGGCGAGTCCTTCAGGCAGCCGCTGGCCGTCAAAGAGGAGGGCTGGCAGTTCTGTAGGAAATCAGCCAATCTGGACCTGGCAACCGCACAGACAACAGCCCCACATCAAACAGCAGAAGTGGGCAGTGAGTATCTGGTGTAGGCTGTCAGGCTGAAGCAAGATGTTCATCAAAGACGGTCCAAAGTGTTTGTTACAAAGTGCAGCTGACACAATTTTGGGCTTGTACATTTACTTTGTTCTGTCCTTTTTATCTTTGAAAATTTGTTTTATTGTCTTTCCCACTTATTTAAAAGCAGATGGATAGCCAATTTCAGAATGAATGCCAAAGCATGAAGCCAGAAATGTGAATGCTACTTTGAATAGTTAAGCACCTAACTGCACTCATCACATGACGTCACAATGAGAGTGTGTTACAAAGCCTTCAGCCTAAGTCACCTGCAGAGGTCGTCACGGCGGCAGAAGCTCTGTTGGTGCAGGCAGTTGGGCTGCAGTCCATCCATCTCCTGATAGGAGCAGGAGGGGACGATGGTCTTCCTCCTCCTCTCCCCACACAAAGTGTTGGTGCAGGGGCAGAACAGCACCCCGAGGCTGTACTCCTCAGGGACCCTCTCCAGGAAACGGCGCAGGGCCCGGTGGCACTTGTGCTGGTTACAGCGGACGGTTCCAGGTATCCGCTTGGTACAAGCCAACACATACTCCGAGCGCAGGGAGCCACACTTCTCATACAGACCACAGTCCTGTGCTGCTTTCAAACACTGGTTCTCTCCGTCCAGCTGCATATACGACGACGCTGACCAGAGACAATCCAATAAAACAGGAAACTGAGGTGAAAAGTCTGACATTTGTGTTTTAACAAATTAACTAAGAAGAAAAATGTAGTGATATATTTCATGTGAAAATAGTTATTCAATGGGTGTTAAAGTAATTAACCTTCCAGTTCACTGCCATTTAGTGTGTGATAATGAGTTAAATGTCAGACAAGAGGAACTCTGAGGCTTTATTGATTGCACTTTTACGTCTCTCCAAAAGAGGCTTTTGGTGATGTTTTGTGAAGCGATGATGACTGAAAATTACTCAGGTGATTATTTTCCAGCGACAGTCAATCATTACCAATAACAAGACGAATGTGTTGCTTGTCTATTGGAGGAAGTCGCTGTGGATGTGAAAACACATCCACATACATCGGAGCAGGAAGCAATTGATTTCATGGGATGAAACAAGATAACTAGTTTTTCATGAAACACTAATGTGACCTTATTGAGTTTAACGCTTTAAAAACAATAGCTGTCTTGAAATACTCCATGTGTGACACAAATGAAAATATATGAAAATACCAGAATTAGCATAAAGCTGTACCTGCCACTAAAGACGCCATCCGACTGTCCATCTGCGTGTCATCATATGGGGACACCTCCAGCTCGTCCTCACCTAGAACCAGCCAAAAACATTTAGAGCAGGTCTTATTTCTGTCTTTGGTTTCACAGAAATTGTCATAAGCTTTGTGGTGTGGTTTTTAAGCTCTAGTTTATCTTGACCTTAGAAAATGATCAAATCAATGAGTCTGATCTGCATAGTCCACAACGTGTCTGAGTTCAAACTTACGGTTTCCTGTTTTGTGGAAAGTATATGTTGTATGATTAACTATTGGTGATACAGTTACATTGACTCTATGGATAATATTCCCAGTAGGTGTTATGGCAGGTTAAGAATTTGATAAAGTAAAATTTTGGAATAACTATCAAAAAAGGTACACGTAGCCACACAGCAAGAAGAAGGTGGGTCGTGGGCGCTGCACTGACACATTTCCTTAGTGGTATTGAAGGTTTTGGTCAAATGTAGGAAACACAATGAAAAGAACAATAAAGACTCCCTACTAGGTTTTAAGTCATTTTGTACTAGGGGTGCAACGGTTTGAAAAAATCACGGTTCGGTTCGTACCTCGGTTCAGAGGCCACGGTTCGGTTCATTTTTCGGTTCATTTTTCAAAAAAATAGTTTTGTCTTTTTAATAAACACAGCTCATGTGGACTCGGCACCTGCTCTGACTGCCCCCCCTGAGCTAGAAATGAATTAAGGGGAAGGAAATGGATGGATGGATGGATGGCATATTCCATCCATCCAATTATGTCTATTTAACATAATTAATGAAAAACAACACAAAGTGCAACATAAGAAGGCACTTTATGAGGATATTTACCCTCATATATTACACCACCTTCCTGATTCTCCCAAGGAGGGGGTCCATTCTGGGCCCAGCCTCATTCACTGCATTTATTTAATTTTTGGCATTATCAGTTGTGACTGGGATATTAGTACTGGGCCTTCTTCCATTCCTCCGCTGCTTGTGTCAGTACCTGCGCTGTGTGACGGTGTGACTGTCGTAGAGGGGGCGTGTCTGCAGCGCCAGACTTTTCATCTCCCAGTCTGCGGTGATGAAGTGAGCGGTTCCGCTCATGGATCTATTATAGGTTCCGCGGGACGTCCAAGCGTCAGTCGTGAGCGCAGCTGTGATGCGCGGGAGAGTTGACTTTAGCCCGGTCTGACTGTGCGTAAAGGAGCTGCTTAAATGCCGCGACAATAAGCGGTCGTTGAGACGCTTTTTTCACTCATGTCTTTCTTGTACCACAGTGCTTACACATCGTGACAGTTTTGTCGAATATTAATTATCAGTGTAGTTACAGTGAAGCCAAAATGCTCTCATACTGGGGATTTAAATGACGCAGGGCTTTCAAGCATCTCCGTTCCTCCGCTCGCAATGACCGCGCTGTGTGTGGACTGAACAACGTGCGCACAACTTTTTTTTCATAAATCAAACCGCGGATCACGTCTGTACCGAATCGAAGACGTTGAACCGAACGGATCACGGATCAGTGATGAACCGTTGCACCTCTATTTTGTACGTATATGGAGTATATATTGAGATATTGAGTTGAATTGAATGGTTAAACTAATCAAAAATGTCTTGACTTTGTCCAATACATTATTTAAATACAAAGATATTCACTCAACAATGTAATGGCATGTAAATGTTTATGTATGTAAATCCTGTTTTGGACTATATATTTATGGCAATGACACGCAAGAGCAGCCTAGCAGCATTAGGAACTGAAGAGTGTAATTACACTAATGCCCGGCTGACTAATGGGCCACAGGGAGCAGGAGTCTTCTGGCTACTGTTGGCTCTCCCCCAGCTCTGTGTCTATAGGAGGGTGTGGGTGAAGTGTCTGCACTCCAGGATGGGCTCATCTTTTAAACTTTATAACTTATATAAATGAGTTAATGCAAAAGGAAACCATACCTGTGGATACATAAACTGTTGTGTAATGTAATAATAAACCTAAACTCTCATAACTGAATGTGAAAATGCAACATATTGAAAATAGAGGAAGGTATTTGAACCTAACACAGGTCACGTGTGAGCGGCCATGGCCAAAACGTGCACTTCTATATGTGTGTTTATTGTGGCTGACCTGGCAGCAGCCGCACGGTCCAGTAGACACGCAGACACTGCTCCTCTCTGCGGAAGCCACGTTGGCACTTGCAGACGAGCAAAGTTGGGTGCTTGCTCAGCAGAGTGTCCTGACGCTCCAGACACTCCGAGGCCACCTGTTCCCCCAGAGGAGCCACCGCCGCATCCGCCGCACACAGCTCCAAGCCCCGGTACAAGGCCTCACACTGGGGCTCCGCCGAGCACACGCGCTGGGCCTCCACGCAGTCTGCCGGGGCAGGGGGAAAGGGAAAGGCTGGAGCTGTAGCCAGAGAGGCACCTGAAGACAACAAGAGACACGCTGATGAAAAGACTGTAGTATATTTCCACAAAAAAGCTTCTAGATGTGTTGGTTGGGGTTCAAGATTCACCTGTATGTATTCCTAACAACAAAAGTTGTAAAGGTTTTTTAGTATTTGATTAAAAACATGACATTTTTGACAGGTTTTACTTTGAACGATCCACTTGATATTCACGTTTTGCCTATCTTCAAAACAATGATTGCAATTCTTCTATATTGATATGTGTGTTAGACTTCTGACAGGCTGTAGAGTAGACACTGCACCAAGACACAGAGCCAGACTGGATAAAGTTCTTCAGTGAGCTTATTTTCATTTACTTTTCGTGTTACCCAAAGTTTGTCTGAAAGAACTGTTGTTTCCCGAAGAGCGGGCGGCTTCGATTTGCTATAGAGAGAAGCTCCCCTGGTAAAATCCAATAGTTGAAGTGCACCCACGTTGTCTGAGGACAGCAGAAATGTCATACAGGGAGGGAAAAAAAAATAGAGGAACAGAAACACAGATGGGAAAGGGAAGAGGTGGAGAGTGAGAGACACAGAGCGAGCGCTTCAATGTGAACCGTGATGGGTTGGACACGCGCACAGTATGAGGTACAATCAGCATGCATCGCTGAAAATGATGTTCTTAGAATCTCACAAAAATGTTTCTTGCACTCACGCACGTGCACACCGCTCTGGGCCGGCCGGAGAGGGACCCTTTTATGTGTGTGTCCTGCTGTGAGGAAGACTGGGAGCACAGAACCCGTCATTATTACCACAACACAATACCGCACCACCGCAGGGGAGGGGGCGCAGGGGCAAACCAATCTGTCCAAGACGCACACACTCTCTTGTGCACACACGTGGCGGCAGTGTCAGAATAAAGTGGCTGAGAGAGCATAAACAGCTCAACATTCAGTGCCGGATCAGTAAACAGTATGTAAATTGAATACTGAGTGTGGTAATGAAAGACGAAATCATATCAAATGTGGTTAGACGAACAAAAAAGCTAAAGCAACACAACATTGTCGCATTGTCTACAGCGAGTTCTGACCCCAGTGGTTCCATCCCGCCCGCAGACGGCACGTGCGTTCTGCATTTGCACTTCATGAAATGCTCCTAAACTCATTTCTCTGGTGTAAAATTTGTTCAATATTTCACGAGATGCCGCTTGTCACAGCCTTACTTACAAAGCTAAATTTCACATGTGTAAGATGTGTCAAAAATAGTGGAGTCACTGAGGAGTGCTCGGCGTTCTATTACCACATCAAATAGTCTGTGATGTCAGCTAACCTTTTCTGACAGACTGCTTCAACAAACAAGACATGAAAGAAGCCACTGTCACAGATAGAGAAGTGGCACTTGTACTCAAACAGCAAACTAAACAGCCATTTGCATATTTTTCATATTCATATTTTGACGCGTGAGAACACATTTCCTCATATCAGACACAATGATGAGAAAATACTGCATTAGTGGCTGCCAACCAAAAATGTATGATTATATACAACCTGCGTAAAATATTAACCAAACTTGGTAAAAGATTAATCCTGAAGGTGTTTTAAGTAATATCAATTATGTATGAGCTTCTGAATCCAGGACCATTTCTATAAAGCGACCAGGCTTCTCACAAAAGGTCCTTATGAAATTGGTCTATAGTGTCAAAATATAATAGATCTGCAGGCATAAAAAAAGGACAAAGACAGAAAAGGAAATTAACAGCCTTTTAACTAACTAATAACTCCACAACAGAAGTGTGATAAAGCAAATCATAACCCTACTGCCACATAATCAAAATGCTATTGAGCTTGATAAAGAAACAGTTCTAGTATGCATTTGTGAATCTAAAGAACTAGTATAATCACACATTGTGCTCCTTCTATTCCTTTCCCTTCACCTCCCACAGCTCTGTACAAAGGTCTACTGGACGTGAAAGCGGTTGTCCTTATTTGACAGCTCGCGTTTGTGTTCGGGGCGCGCTTTAAGTCAAAGTCCAAAGACCATTGTAGGAGAGGTGTTCCCACAGGAAGTTTCAACACTTCACTGAGCAAGATGCCAAGAAACAACAAACACGGCCTGGGAAGGAAGTAAACAGCAACGCTAAACCCAGGTTTGGCAGTTGGCCCTTTTCCTTTAAAAAAAAGATTGTCAATAATGTATTTTCCCTAGAGGAGAACGACGCGTGTTCATTTGGTTCTGTTTGAGATAATTCGCTCAACTTTTTTCATCATCAAGCCGAGCAGAAGGGTGCTAAAAGTTTGGTGCCACTGTGTGTCTGGAGGCAGCAGACAGGCTCTTCATCAGCGCTGGTGGAGTTTATCATTGTTTTTCTGTTTAAAACAATAAATATCCAATCCACCATCTGCCGCACATCACCACAGACTGCCGCACTGTGCTGGCACCAGTCAGCTCGTTGAACAACACGCACTTTCCGGCCAAATGCTCCAACTTTAAAGAGCAAGCTAAGTTGGGCATACCAAAGTGGATTTCCTCATGTCCTAGTGAGGCCATTTTGGGGCCACTGACCGCACACTCAAAAAAGCTGCTTTCATATTCGTCTTTATTAGTTAGTTAGTTATCTATTTATTTCAAATCCTGCACAAAACAAGATACAAATATCAATTATCAAATGAAAAACACGGGTTGGGTGAAACAGACACTTATACAGCAAACAGCAAACTTATACAATATTTACAACAGCAAATACAAACTACACTAATACTGTAAAGTTACATCCTTACATACAATTAACTAACCAAGACACACAAAGACAAGACGCACACTCGTTCTCTCTCTCACACAGACAACACACTGGCCCAAACACTCACTGACCACACACCTCTCTCCCACCGCTCTATCCAGGCTCAGGGCATCACTCTCTGTCCTCTATAAATGTCTTCAATATGTCTATTTTAAATGCAGTCATATTTGAGCATGTTTTAAATTTGTCTTTTAATCCGTTCCAAATGTGAACGCCTCGGACCGAGATACACACAGATCTATCTCAGTACATACTTTCAGTCATCTACTATGCACATGAAAAACAAGGTGCATCTGGTAAAAGTAAACATTTTCCTTAACGTGTAGTGATATACGTGTAGCATGGGAAAAGCTAGAATATTCTCCGTAATGAGTACATGAGGAGGAGGCGAGTCGTGGTTGGCTGGAGAGAAGGAGGGTGAGACTTCGCCTGCTCCTGAATCTTTGTTAATGAAATATATCCTTAACATGACTAATCTACTTTGTATGCAATAACTATATGGATACACACATAAGCATCAAGATGTGTTGGATTGAATTGTTCAGATTGTGTAGTGGAAAAAAACCCTTTTAACGAGAAAGCTTTGCTCACATCCCATTGATTCATTTTTTCATTTTTAATGTAATGGTATTAGGCACATTAATTCACTTAATTGTCCAAACCAGGTGCTCTTTCCCTGCTATTGCCTCATATTTAAATACCTAAGCAGCATCATGCGTGGAATATTGCAAGAACATAAAGAGGAGAAACCATTTGGTACTTGCAAATGATAAAAGCCCAGCGCCAACAGCATACGGCTATTGTTGAGAAAGCTCAAATGCCTGAAGCAAAGCATTTGACATGGCTACTTCCAGTTCCAGGATTTCCTTTCAAAAAATCTTCAGTCACTGTGAGCTTATCAAAACCTTTCTGATAACAGCTTTGAGAAGAGCATCCTCTGGCTTTAGCATCAACATTCTACATGGCGGACTGCTTTGCGGGTTATGAGGTGAAGGCGAGAATTTGTGCACAAAATGCTAGAAGGTCTTTCCAGATTAGTTCGGCATCACGAGATTATAAGAGCGCTGGCCAAAACCCAAACACATCAAGACGTTAGAAGTATATAGAAGATGATAAATAAATAAGTGGCAAATTACATCCAAATGTCTGCTAATGATTTATGCTAAAGGCTAAAAGCTAAACATAGTGATGATGGAGATAAACATGAAGCGTGACAGTTTGGACCGCTTCCAGGGGCACAAGACAAGGAAGCTGTGGATGGGCTAATAACACTAAGAGCTAATGATCCTGATGTGTTGTGAGCCAAGTTAATGACCAAGAGAGGCGCGCACTGAACCCAGGTCCCCCATACCAATTACCAACTTTAGTGTAATTGCTGCAGTCGTCCCAAAGAGGCAGTCTTCAGGGCCGGAAAAACATCCAAGCATAAGAACTCTCCAGTGGCAAAATGTAAATGATTCCCAGCAGATTGTAATGCTAAATGTTTAATTCTCTGAGTGAATTAAAACAAAGTTGAATGATTTAATTTAGAGTAGTATTGATTTATAAACACTGAGAGTCATAACAAGAGGCATTTGATAATAGGAAAACGCCGGGGCAGCAGTCTAACCAGAGACGCCCAGACTTCCCTATCCACACACACTTCCTCCAGCTCGTCCGGGGGGACTCCAAGGCGTTCCCAGGCCAGCTGAGAGACATAGTCCCTCCAGTCTGTCCTGGGTCTTCCCCGGGGCCTCCTCCCGGTGGGACGTGCCCGGAACACCTCCCCAGGGAGGCGTCCAGGAGGCATCCGGAACAGATGGCCGAGCCACCTCAACTGGTTCCTCTCGATGTGGAGAAGCAGCGGCTCTACTCCGAGCTCCTCCCGTGTGACCGAGCTCCTCACCCTATCTCTAAGGGAGCAGCCACTCTGCAGAGGAAGCTCATTTCAACCGCTTGTATCCGAGATCTTGTCCTTTCGGTCATTACCCAAAGCTCATGACCATAGGTGAGGGAGGGAACGAAGATTGACCGGTAAATTGAGATCCCTCTCCACCACATCTTGGCTGTTTTTTGTTAAAGCAGGAGAAGCTAACATTCTTTTTTTCCTAATAACACATTTTGCTTGCTCCAACAGAAAGATTCTTGTAAACATGAATTGAATGAATCGGACCACAACAAGAAATAACCCTGTGAATCACTGGTCAACACCTCGGTCTGAGAGCTGATTGTCTGAGTGAGGAGGGTCCACTCTTTATCACTT